AGAATGGAAGAGTTTCAGCAGCGCCTTATTGCAACTCAGAATAGGTCCCCCTCACTGGAACAAACTCCACTTGCTAGGGAATTTGAAGCATTCAAAAATTCTGTTTTATTCTGCCTAGAGAATCTACAAGCTCAGATGGCGATTCTATTTAGAGTGCAGGATGAACAGGAGATGCGCAGTAGGCGAAAGTGTCTGTTGATGCATGGAGTAAATGAAGCAAAGGATGAAAGCCCGGGCTCCATTGCAAATATGATATCCATACTCTTAAAGTGTCCTAATGTGACGGAGCAGTGCCTCTCCCGTTGCCATCGAGTGGGATTAAGATCCAATGACAAGCCTAGGCCTATATTAATAAAGTTTCGTGAGCATGCTGACAAGTTAAGGATCTGGGCTGCCAAAACTAATCTTAAAGGCACTGGAATAACCTTGTCTGAGTTCCTGACAAAATCAAGGCACTCGCTATTTATGGAGGCAAGAAAGCGGTTTGGCGTCTCGAAATGTTGGACTCGCGATGGACGTGTACAAGTGATAGGGGCTGATGGGAAACTTCGCCGCATCTCTTCGCTGAAGGAACTCGATTCAGTTCCGGACAGCATACCGTCATCGTCCGCAGCTGATGATGCAAAGCTGCCAAGAGACAAGACCCGTAATAAGAAGGCTCCAAAAAAGGGTCAATAACTTCCGTTTGTACAGTGTTGGTGTTCCGTGTGTTGGGGTTATAATCAACTTTTTCTTGGTTTGTTGTCATGAGTTTCAAGTGTTAAACAGTTCTTTTTTTTTATTACTTATTTGGTATCTTATAACCTTCACCTTTGTTTACTAATTGTTATTATGATGATATTAATTTCTAATTGTTATTTGTTATTAAAGCCCATTGACAGATTATAACTACTAAGTACTACAATCGTGATGTGTAACTAGGATGCTCCGGCTGTCGTACGCATCGGACGTGTTTTTTCGTTGCGCGCATACGGACCCGTGTATTTCGTCTATACTGTAGTGGTGTAATTATTGTTTATATAGAAATTTCGCAATTGTATTTGTAATATTGTCTACGCATCATTATTTCGTAATTCCACTTGCACGTGGATCAATCAGTCGCCCTATAACCGCCATGTAAGTCAGAGGACAATAAAGATAGTGAATTCTGTTATGGTTTTCATTTGGTGTACCTCAAACACTAAACTGGTGACCCCGACGTGATTCGCGGGCGGCCCGACGTGATTCAATGGGAACTAAAAGGAAAATCTAAATAGGGCGGGGCGACTCACAAAAATATGTAAAAATTTGTCGTGCAAGTATACGAAGAGAGCGCACAACAACGGCGAAATCGCAGCCATGGCCGGAGCATCATCAGCAGCACCACATATGCCTGCTGTAGCAGACACAATTACGGGGCTCATGCAGCAAATAAACAAGCTCATGCTGGAAGTTGCGGCACTCCGCAGCGAGGAACAAGATCAAGGACGTCCCAGGAGTCGCGGCCACCAAAGCTACAGGAGCAGGTCCTCGTCGCACAAAAGAAGGACTCCAGGGGATCCAGAGTGGCTCTGCAGGTTTCATTTCCGGTGGAGGAAGAACGCGAGAAGGTGCGAGGAACCTTGTGCCTGGCGTAAAGACAGACAGCGGCGCGGGAAACTAGAACCAGTATATCCGCAGGCGGTGGACGGATGTACTGAGGGACAGGTATCTAGTAATCACCGTTTGTTAGTTAGGGATAGTTTATCTAAGTTTACTTTCCTGATAGACACAGGAGCTAATATTTCTGTAATCCCGAAATGGTGTGTTAAACAACGCACACTAATTCATTGCGATTTTAAATTATACGCGGCTAATGATAGCGAGATAAAAACATACGGCATATGTTATTTAACAATAACTTTTGGCCTTAGGAGAGATTTAAAATGGCCGTTCATAGTGTGCGATGTTAAGCAACCAATAATTGGGGCAGATTTTTTAAGAAATTTTAGATTATCTGTAGATTTATATAATAATAGATTAGTCGACCTAGTTACTAATTTGTACGTTTGTGGAACAAAGAGTGTAAATTCGATAGGAGCGGTGAAGTCTATTAGTAGTAGCCAGCCGTACGCGGAATTACTTGAGCAATTCAAGGAAATCACGCGCCCACCTATTTTTAAGGAAGTGCCAGAGCATTCTGTCTATCACCATATTGAGACAACAGGCCCGCCAGTGTATACGCGTGCAAGGAAGCTGCCACCTCACAGGTATGATTTAGTTAAAAAAGAATTCCAGCTGATGCAGGAGTTAGGGATATGCAGACCATCGAGTAGTCCGTGGGCCAGCCCACTACATGTAGTGCCTAAAAAGAACGGTGAAATTCGACCTTGCGGGGACTATAGAATGCTTAATGCGATTACAAAACCGGACCGTTATCCGATACCTAGAGTTCAGGACTTTACTTATGGTTTACATAACAAAAAAGTTTTTTCAAAAATTGATATTTGTCGAGCGTATCATGTTATAAAAATTAGGCCGGAAGATATTGAAAAGACAGCGATTATTACCCCATTCGGACTTTTTGAGTTCCCAAGGATGACGTTTGGACTGCGTAATGCAGCTCAAACATTCCAAAGGTTTATAAATAGTACGATATTAGCAGGCATAGAACATTTGAATAGTTTAGATGATAAGAATATAACCGGGGAATCATATGTATTCGGGTACCTTGATGACGTCATCATTGGATCAGATAACGAGCTAATACACCAAAAACATTTGCGACTGTTGTTCGAGCGTTTCAGTAAATATAGTATGTCAATTAACTTAGGAAAATGTGTTTTTGGTCAAGCAAAAATAGATTTTTTAGGATACGAGGTCTCAGAAAAAGGTATTAGTCCGTTACACGACAAAGTTCAGGCTATCGAAATGTACCCGAAGCCAGAAACTATTGTTGACCTTCGCAGGTTTCTCGGCATGTTAAACTTCTATAGAAATCACATACCAAACGCCGCGAAAGTACAGGGAACGTTAGATAGGTATTTACACGGAGCAAAAAAGAACGATAAGCGTAAGATACAGTGGACAGACGAGGCTAGTAGGGCATTTGATTTGTGTAAAGAGAATTTAAAAAACGCCGCTACTTTATCGCATCCGATTGCAAACGCAGAATTAGCTTTAATGACCGACGCATCCGATTTCAGTATCGGCTCGGTGTTACAACAAAAGGAAAACAATACTTGGAGACCCCTAGGATACTTTTCGAAAAGGCTTACGGAATCCCAAAAGAAGTACTGCACATATGACAAGGAACTTTTGGCGATTTACTCAGGCATCGTTTATTTTAGAGACTTAATAGAAGGTAGGAATTTTACGGTGTATACAGACCATAAACCGTTAACATTCGCATTTAGTAAGTTAGGCTCAAACAAAGAATTACCTAGAAGGACGCGACAGCTGTTATTTATTAGCGAATTTACAAATAACATTCAACACGTAATAGGTAGTGAGAACGCCGTTGCGGACGCATTGTCGAGGGTAGAAGAGATAACATGTCCGAATCCGATACAATACGTAGACATCGCCCATGCGCAGGCCGATGACACTGAGTTAGCAAATTTATTGAGTACAAGTACCGGTAGTAGCATACAATTGAAACAAATGAACTTAAATAATTCCGATGATTTGATTTATTGCGAAACGTCTACTAAAAATATTCGGCCATACATTCCGAAAGAGTTTAGAAAGTCTATATTTGATTATTTCCATGGGTTAGCGCATCCAGGGATAAAGGGATCGCGAACACTTATATGTAAAAAAGCATTTTGGCCAAATATGAACAAGGATATAGGGATTTGGGCAAAGACATGTATTCAATGTCAAAAAAGTAAAATAGTGCGACACACGGTGTCTAAGTTAGGTACTTTCGAGGAAGGCGACCGTTTTGCACATTTGCATATCGATTTAATAGGACCACTACCCGTGACGGAACATGGCTATCGGTACTGCGTGACGATGATAGATCGGCGTACACGATGGCCTGAGATTTGTCCAGTTACAGATATGACGGCTGAGACTGTTGCAAAAGCAGTTTATGATAACTGGATCTGTAGGTACGGTTGCCCAATTTTCCTGACGTCAGACCAAGGCAGGCAGTTTGAGAGCGAATTATTCATAGATTTAATGAAAATATTAGGCATTCGTAAAACACGCACTAGTCCCTATCATCCGCAGGCAAATGGTAAAATAGAAAGATGGCATAGGTCTTTAAAAGCGGCATTGATGGCGAGGCTAAACAATAACGCAGCTTGGTTCGCAGAGTTATCTACGGTGATGCTAGGACTGCGAGCAGCGTGTCAGGCGGACAGCGATAACATAAGCGCAGCGGAATTCGCTCTAGGTCATTGTTTACGTTTACCTGGTGAATTTTGTAGCGATAGTATTACCAAAATAGAGAATCCGCAAGCGTACATAATTAGATTAAGAGATATTTTAAATAGTATTAAACCTAAGTCTAGAGAGTTTAGTAATAAAAATATGTTTGTACATGCTGATTTAGGTTCCTGTTCACATGTTTTCTTGAGAATAGACGCAGTACGGAAACCTTTAGTACCACCTTATTGCGGACCCTACAAGGTATTGGAAAGGAATACAAAGAATTTTAAGATCGCAATAAATGATAAAATTTCTTATGTTTCAATAGACCGTGTAAAGCCAGCGTACATTCTAGATGAGCTTAGTAGCAACCAGGTTAGCGGAAACTTAGATCAGCATAAGCAGGTTAATGAACCTTTAAAAACTACACGTAGTGGTAGAAGTGTTAAGCAACCCGTTAGGTTTATGTTTTGATTTGTAAGCAACATACTTAGTAAGTAGGTAATTGTTAATTAAGCGAATGTTCAGATTATTGCAACACCAATTTGTATTGCTGAGAGTTGAATCTTTAAGTAATATTGTATAAGGTATTTCAGTGTTCACTTTGCACTAGCATAGGCTATAACAAGTAGCTACCTGTCACCGTCAGATAGTTAAATCTCAGAATGGGTAAAACTTATTCAGTCGAAAAGAAGGAAGAAGAAGTCATAATCGCGCAGAATGGAGCCAACCAAGCTTCAACGTCCCACTTGGAGTTCAAGCTGGAAGTTCTAGGCATTATGGTCACCGTCATGTCATTCATAATCTTCATAGCGTGTGCGGTGGCGTTGTATAAAGTGTGTGTATACAAAACTAAACGTATGTTACGCCGGGAATTAATGTGCGCGTCGCAAAATGTTAGCGCGAGTGTTACTCAACAACAGGCGTATAGGCCTAACGGTTGCGGGGTTTAGTTATAATTAGACTTAAGACATTGTATTTAGATTTAAAAGAAAAATATGGAATTCATTTATACTACGTATATAGTTATTACATTTACACTTTGTCATAGTTTTATTTAAAAGTTGCAGTAGTCAAATTTTAGTTTTTTGTGTTTATATGTATCTACTCATTTTTTTTTTTAAGAAGGGGGTGTATGTAGTGGTGTAATTATTGTTTATATAGAAATTTCGCAATTGTATTTGTAATATTGTCTACGCATCATTATTTCGTAATTCCACTTGCACGTGGATCAATCAGTCGCCCTATAACCGCCATGTAAGTCAGAGGACAATAAAGATAGTGAATTCTGTTATGGTTTTCATTTGGTGTACCTCAAACACTAAAATACTAACTATCGCTACTTTTATACATAAAAGTTTGTCATAGTTGCCAGGAGGTGCTGTCACAATCATCTGATTCCACTCTCGGTGACGTACACTCGCCGCCTATCCCTAAGCCTTCGGGATTCGGGAGAAGCGGTGGAGTGCGCTATGAACCGATAGTTTCGGGTCGTGCGTGACAGCCTCCTAGCTTCATTTTATTTTATTGTGTGTGATTAAAATGAAGCGCATTCCCCAGGCCGGTCAGGAGGAGAAGCAGCCGTCCCGCCCGCAGCGCCCACGCTCCCGTTCAGGTCGAGCGAGGCCCCCTGCGGGTGCCGAGGCCGCCGCCAACCCCGGACCGTCAAGTACTGAGCGAATAACAACGCCCAGCTCGACTACAGCGAAGCACCAGGCTGCGCCAAGCTGTTCCGGCTTTGCGGAGCCAGCTTTGCCTCAGCCGAGTCGCAGCCGTTCTACGGAGAGGCGAAGCCTCACTCCATCTTATAAGACCAAGGAATCATCTTCATCCAGTGAAATTACATTCCAGGCCGTCGGGTCATTAGCGACACATCGCGCCACCGATGACACCATCCACCCGCCCGCCGCACTCCCCGCGTCGGAGACATCGCGGCGCGGCACCGAGTTGCAAGCCGTGCGTGTGACGTCAGCGGGCCACGCCTCCAACGACGCCACTCGCCCGTTCGCCCCGCCCACCGCGTCGGAAACATCGCAGCCAACCATTTCCGCGCGCGACCCGTCCGTCGCGCTTCACCGCGCACCTACTGACGCGCTATTCAGTGCAAGTTCGACGCGTAATAGTGAAAGTGATATCGAAAATATGAGTGCCGCTAACATAGGCCCGACGCCTAATTACCGCGAGTGCAGTAGTGTGGACGAATTGTTAATCATGCTCGATCGGGATCCGGGTCCTGGCACCGCATCCTCGCCGCGGACGGCATACGAATCGGATCTGATATTTTTAGCTCAGTCCTTTGCATGCTCGTTCGCGTCGCGGGGGATGCTGCGCGCTATGGCCCGTTATGCCAAGACGCGAGAAGAGGCGCTGCGTAATAGCGGCGCTTTACAATCACCTCTGTCAGACGCTGAACAACGGGAGTTGGCGCAGGTCCGCAACGAGTGTCGCCTGCCGGCGCGCACCCCAGCCACCCCCGTGCGCCGCCCTTTTTCAGCCGTGGACCCCGGCTCGGAAGGTGAGTCCGCGGCAAAGCGCCCATGCGCTTCCATTAATACTAAAAGTGCGCCAGGCTTCCCTGGCGACCCTCGGCTGGCGCCAGGTCGTCGCCTTGATATGGGAGGGCCATCGGCACAGCCACCTGGCGCCGTTCCATCGCCCGCCGCACCGACTGACATTAACATTAACATTGACGCCTCACTACCGGGACCCGCTGCCGCTCCCGTCGCCTCCGCTGACGACGGCGCCGCTTCAGCACCGGACGCACCCACTTATGCAAGGATGGTGACTGCGCCGACGGTCCAGGCGCAGCCCCTAGAGCTCCCGCGGCCCCCAAGAGATCTGACTATCCACCGATAGTTATCGAGTGCCTCCCCAATTACGTACATCATTTGGGGAGGATCAGTCAGCTGTTGGGGCGGCCAGCCAATGCCAGGGCGTACGGTAAGGGTTACCGTATCACCCCCGAATCCGGCGACGAGTACCGGGTGGTCCAACGTTACCTTTCGGACCTGGAGAAGGAGGATCGCCGGGTCTCCTGGTTTTCGTACTCCCTTCCCGCGGAGCAGGATCTTAAGGTGGCGATTCGGGGGATACCGGTTACAACCGACCCCGAGGAGCTGGCCCAGGCGCTGCGAGACCGCGGTTACGAGCCTGACTATATCCGCCCGATTCGAGCCCGGAAGGGCCGACCCGGCTGCATTTTCCTTGCAGTGATGCGGCGTACTCCAGACATCACCCCTGCCATATATAGCATAACCGAGCTGTTATATATGACGGGGGTCACAATTGAAGCCTGGCGCGGGAAAAGGGTCCCGCGCAATGCCATCGATGCCAGTCGTTCAGACACTCATCGGTTAATTGCCATCGGCGAATGGCGTGCGTCCGCTGCGCGGGGGAGCATCGCGCGGCTGACTGCACCAGACCGAGGGAAGTGCCGGCGACCTGCGCCAACTGCGGGGGGCCTCACCCCGCTTGCCACTCAACTTGCCCGGTGCGCAAGGAGGAGGAGCGGAACCGGCGCGCGGGCACGTTCGCCCGAACGGCGCCGCCTCGCCCCTCGTGCCAACGCCTCAACGAGCAAAGCCGAAACCAACATCCGCCCATGGGCGCGCCGCCTTCAGCCGCCCCCTTGACGTCTGCCGCCGCTCCTACGTTCGACGATGAGGGCTTCGTCACGGTGCGACGCCGCACGAGACGAGGCGGCCGCAGGCGGGCCCCGCCGCGCCTTCACTTGCCGCGCAGGAGGCGGGCCGCGCTGCCGCACTTCATGCGGTTTCCACGGGCGTCGCCAACCGCGCCGCTGCCGCAGCCGCAGCCCCAGCGCCAGCACCAGCACCAGCACCAGCACCACCTCCGCGCGCGCGCACCAGGTCCCGCGCGCGCCGACCCTAAATGGAGGAGGCACTGGCGGCCATCGCTAACATACTCCAGGCCGTACAAGCCGGAGACGATCCAGCCCCGCTTTTTAGGAGAGCGGCATCGGCCTTCAAGGCCCCCACCCGAGGTCGCAGCCGCAGATGATGGGGGGCCTTCGGCTCCTACATTGGAACGCGCGCGGCCTCGCGAATAAGGCCACCTACCTAAAACATCTTATGAATTCACAGGACATTGACGTCGCCCTAATTAATGAGACACACCTCTCCGAATCAGCCAGGCTGCGCATCCCGGGGTATGAAATCTACCGCCAGCACCACGTCGACGCCATCGGTCGCGCCTACCGTGGCCTAGCAGTCATGGTCAGGCGCCGCATACCACACCGACTGCTGCCCGACGTGGCGGTCACCGAGTGCTCTGCCCTGGGTGTGGAACTGCAGCTTGCGGGTCGCCCCTCAGGCTTTTTGCAGTCTACGCCCCGCCCAACGATCGATACGCCTCCGCCGATGTCCGCGCGCTCCTCGCCGCCGCCCACCCGTGCGTCATAGCCGGTGACTGGAATGCGAAGCACCCGGCGTGGAATTCGCGGACTGCGAACTCGAGACACTGGACTTTTCAGTGTCCGGCCCGGACGTGCCGACCCATTACCCGGACATTACTCACCACCGAGCCGATACGCTGGACATCGTTGTCCACCAGGGAGTGACGTGCCAGATGACCCAGGACGTGATCGTCGACGAGTTCCTGTCCGATCACCTCCCTGTGGTCGTCACCCTGCTGGACACCGATCCTAGTTTAACGCCCATGACACCGCTTCGCCGTAGGTGCATTGACTGGGGGTTTTCGAGCGAGCCCTCGACGACGCACCTCAGCCGCGTCCGCCCGAGACCCCCGCGTCAATTGACGAGCTTGCTACATCCCTCACTCTAACGTTCCAGAACGCACTACAAGCGGCCACCACGGAGCGCCCTCTGCCGGCGTCGTATCAGCAGTTGCCGCCGCGTTTACTGGCGCTCATTCGCCGCAAACGCGCCCTGCGAAGACGCTGGCAGCAAACCCGCTGTCCGCGCATGCGCGCAGAACTGCGCGCCCTTGCCGAGCGAGTAAAGACCGCGCTCGACGAACATAATAACGAGTCGTGGGAGCGCTGTCTCGACGAGGCCTCCACAGATTTGGTACGGCTGCACCGACTGTGCAGGCGCCTCAATGGCGCAGCCGACCCGATCCGCCCGCTGAGACACCCTGACGGCACGCTGCTCTACGACGCCGAGGACGCGCCGAGGTGTTCGCAGACCATCTACGGCGGCAGTTCTCCCCTAACCCCGCGGCAGACCCAACACGCGCGTTAGCGGTCGAGAACGCCGTCGTCGAACAGCTGAGCGCCCCTCCGCCGGCTGAAGAAGAGGTGCTGTTCTTTTCGCCGAGCGCAGTCAAGCGGCATGCAGCGCGGCTCAAGCCCAGGAAGGCCCCCCGGCCCGGATGGTATTACCAACGCAGCTCTGCGTCACCTGCCCCATCGTGCGGTGGTGACGCTCATGCGTCTATTTAACGCAATCCTCCGGACTGGACACTTCCCCGAGGCTTGGAAAGAAGCCAAAATCATAATGTTGCCCAAGAAGGGCAAAAATATCACGGACCCGGCGAGCTATCGCCCTATTTCATTACTGGCGACGCAATCCAAGCTGTTCGAGGCCATGTTGTTGCCGACTATTAGGCGACACTTCACACCTAGGCCCGAACAGTTTGGGTTCCGCACCGAACACTCAACCACCCTCCAGCTGTCGAGAGTACTGCACGACATCGCCGTCGCCCAAAACAAGAAGGAGGCGGTCGCTGCAGTATTCCTAGACATGGAAAAAGCGTTCGACCGAGTCTGGCACGCGGGTCTGCTGCATAGGCTCCTCGACTCCGACATACCGCGGCGCGTGGCGGCGATCATCAGCTCCTTCCTCTCCGACCGGCACTTCCACGTCTCCGTCGGGGGTGAAGTCGAGCTGCCGGCCGATCGCCGCGGGGGTCCCTCAAGGCAGCTGCCTATCTCCCATACTGTATTCTATTTATTCGAATGACGTTCCAGTTGCTGCGGGGTGCGCGGTGTCGCTGTTTGCGGACGACACCGCCTTCATCGCCTCCTCTCTCAACGCGCGCCACGCAGCCACTAAACTGCAGAGGTCGCTGGACGCCCTTCCAGCCTGGCTGGCAGAGCGGCGCCTCACCGCAAACGCCGCCAAGACTCAAGCCATCGTCTTCGGCTGGGGGCGTCTCCCGCCGCCGCTGCAATTCCAAGGGTCGAGGTCCAGTGGCGCTCCCAAGCGACCTACTTGGGCATTACCCTGGACAGAGGCCTAACGATGCGCCCGCACATCGCTGCAGCCGCAGGCCGCGCAAAGGCGGTCGCCTCCAAACTGCGCCCTGTACTGCAGTCCGCACTTCCGCTAAGGCGTAAATTAGCACTGTACAAACTATACATTAGACCTCATCTCACGTACGCGGCGCCCGCGTGGTACGCTCTCGCGGCCGAGACGCATCGGCGTCGGTTGCGCGCCGTGCAGAGCACCACCCTGCGGCGCATCGTCGGCGCGCCGCGCTACATGAAAAACTCCACGATCCAGCGAGATTTAAAAATAACAACCATAGACGATTTCATCGGCGAGCTGGCGAGGCGCATGTTCGAGCGTGCGGACGCCTCAGGCCACCAGCACCTCCAGCGCCTCGCCCCGCTCCACACGAGACCGCCAGAACACCGCCGAGCCTACCCGCGCGAACTCGTTCGCGCGGAACGAGACGAGCCTCACTCACAATAACGAATTTAAAGACGAAAGGACTGGACCCCGCCCGTTGGCGCCTCGGAGCGCGCTGAGGATTCAGCCGCAGGTCTGCCTCGCTGGGCCTCCCTCGGGTTACCGAGGGTCTCACCCGGTGTGGTATGGCCGCGCCCACGCGCGCCCGTTGTCGCCACGGGGGGCGCCACCAGACCCACCGTACAAACATACAAAGCGCTGCGAGAGCGAAGACGCTCCGCAGCGCAAGTGAAGCTCAGGGCCGCTCCAGGCCCGCCACAGCGACCGCCCCGCCGTTGAGCGGGGCGCGGAAAGGATACCCCCCGCAAGCCCATGGGCGTAACGGGGTACCCAGCGCCACCCTAGGGTGATTGCGCGGAAGAAGGCATCATGTGTGTAACTATCAATCGTGATGTGACGCTGTCAAAGGTTTTTGTTGTCAAATGTCAATTGTGTGTTATATTATCTGTTCATTTTATTAGCGATTGAGTGTGAATATGGGATCGTTTTTAAACAAAAGATAAAAATGTATTATAGACTTTGTATTTTTTCAAAACCAAAACTTATCCATTTATTGTCACTTTTGTTTTTTTTTTCAATTCGTGCTCTAAAAGATAAATTCTACCATTTAGTAAAATCAGTCAAGTTCAAAACAGCACTATTTTCCTTGTAAAATGATGTTGAAAAAGAAAAATTCGTTCAAAACCTCATCATATCCGTGTTCAATTTTTTTATTTTAAAATTGATTCAAAACCGCACATCTCCTATAAGTATTTTACTATGCTGTAATGTATGCACATTCAACACCACACATATCCCGTACTTTTTCGAATTATCCCGCAATATAAAGAGTTTTGGCTTGTCCATCCCAAAACTCTTTGCCTTAGTATCTTGCCGTGTAAAGTGGCAACATTATTTTGACATTAAACGTCATCTGCCACTGTCTGTACTGTCATTGTCACAGTCATTATTTATGGCACGTAGCTCTGTTCAGCGTTCCCTCGTTTTTCAATGCGTGTTTTCTGTGCCCTTTCTTCTGTTTATCTATATTAATAATTTCGTCAAGGGGTACGGTAGACTCGATCGAAACCTTATATGAATAACAAATAAAAAAATATTGATTTTGAGTCGACAACATATATCCGCAAAATTCGGATTATGGAGAATTTCGTTAAATTCCGATGGCACTGACAAACAAACCGCTGTCGCCATCTTTGGTGTGAAGCACGTTCCGTTTCATGCTAGCCCTTAGATACGTCTTGCCAATCAACACATTGCGTGCGTCGCGCAAAAAAAAACCTTCATTGCATCACAAAGAACTGTGACTCATGTGACTATGTAAAACGAAAATATTGACTCGCGAAAATATTGGTTTTGTCACTTTTTATGATATACTCTTTGAAGGGTTATGCGTTTTTTCTTTAAACCTGATTACGATCACAACCATAAATTTTCTCCTGTATGGTTGATAACGAAGAGTTGACGCTAATCGAAGATTCACTGATTACTGATGATTGCTGTCAGTCAGCAGTGATTTTATTTCTTTAGAAGAAGAGGACAAAGAAGACATATCAAATGGCGGGCAGACCCCCGAATAAACGTAAATATTCAAGCAGGTTTAGTACAGAACATCAGCCCCCTAGGACTAACTGTGTATATTTAGCACTTTCAAATAACATCATTCAAGTATCAGTACATTCAGTTGGTTCTTTGATTTATGAATGTGTTCAATGTCAAGCACTTCATTTTTTAAGTGAAAAAATTAAAAATCATTTTAAAAATTGTTGTCATAATGGGAAGGTATACATAGACCCAGACAGAGTATTAAAGCCAATTCCAGATATATTATTAGATTTATACGAAGGCAATACGTCTGATGCTAATCATTTTAAGGCCAATATACGACAATATAATTCTATATATATAAAAACTGGATCTTTGGTTCCGTTGCAAGGTCATAAACCACAATACAACCAATTGTATATAATTGAAGATGAAGCAGCATTAAATGACCGATTATCTGATTCTAGAAATAACATGTGTAGAAGCAATATAATGAGGTCCTTACAAACAATGCTCAATGAATCCAATCCTTTTATCAAAATATACAAAAAGGTGGCTGCAATTTTAGCTGAAGAGGAATTAAAAGCAGCGTCAGAAAATCGACCCAAATATTCGGTATCAATGCAGTTTTATAAACATAAATCTCTTGATTTGCGTCGGTATAACACACCATCAAAGAATGAGGTAGCGGCCATCTTTGTAGGAGAAAACGGCGAACCTCCATTAACCCTTATCGTCATTTTGTATAGTATACCATACATCCAACTTTATAAAAATATATGATCACTATACAATCATTTTTAACTTAGTTTTATTAAACACATGACATTTCTAGACGTCTATTTATACTTCAAAAATAAAAATAGTAGTTTATCTGTCATAATTTTAAATCAATTGTGAAAAATAAACGTCAAAATGCGCCGCACAGGTTTAGCTATAGTAAGTTTTATTTTATTTTTATGTTTGTACTCCTAAATATGCATGTTTTTTATAAAATAAACATGCCTAAATGTTTGTTTTAACACATTTTTATATATATGCTGTTGTCGCTATGAGAATTAGTATGTTTTTGTCGTGTTTTTTACTAACGTATATTATACTATACAATGCCGCAGTTGCAGTAATTTACTTTTCGTTGATGGTGTATAGAATAATATACATTGCTAACTGCACGGAATGAATATTTTAATGGACTTTACTATAAAAATTAAATTGCAAGTATGTCTGTCTTATATATTAAACCAATTTTATTACAATTTAAAAGACAGTTGAACTTATCGCGGGCTTCAAGCCAGAGGGGCGTATAAAAAAAAATCGTTTTTTACGTCCTCATCTTTAGTTCAAATTGAACAACCAGTCAGCATTACTAATCCACAAGAAATAGAAGAATCGCCCACACTTGAAAGTAACCTTGATCGTCAAAAAGTGAAAAGATGCAAAAGAAAAATACCGGAAAATTGAAAAAAAAAACATTAGAAAAACGAAGAAAAATTGCGGTGAAACATAAATATCAAGTCAAGGAAAAAATGTACCGGCAAAAAGTGTGGCAATGAAAATTGTAAGTGTCAACGAGCTTGTCATACAAAAATTGATAATAGTACGAGAAAAAATATTCATTTGTCATTTTGGGGTTTGGGTAGTATTGAAAGACAAAGGGATTTTATAGTATCGAACGTGGTTTCAACTGAAGCAACAGGATCACGTGTGACAAACTCGAGAAGGAAATTCACTTTGAATTACAGTTTCAAGATTAATTCGGAAACGGTAAATGTGTGTCAACCTTTTTTTCTTCGTACACTGGATATCAGTGACAAGATGGTCCGTACTGCTTTGAAGAAAGCGCGCCGAGGAGTGGGTAATATACCTTCCCCTGATAAAAGAGGTCATCACATACCTTGCAACAAATTTAGCGAAGACAACATAAAGTTTGCTAATGATCACATAGATTCATTTCCAAAAGTGCCTTCTCATTGGTGCCGTAAAGATACAAAAAAGATTTATTTGGAGACCATTCTTAATAAAGAAAAAATGTACGAATTATATAAGCAGCAATGTTTGGAGAACCATAAGAAACCCATTGGAAAAACTTCGTATAAAGAACTAATTTTAAATAAGAATATAGGTTTCCACAAACCAAGAAAGGACCAGTGTTGGTGTAACAAATATGAGCAATTAACTGAAGAAGAACAAAAGGCGAAACAAGAAGAATACGAAGAGCATGTTAACAGAAAATACTATGCACAGGAAGAAAAAACATCGGATAAAATTAAAGCAATAGAAGATAGTCGCTCGCATGTTTGTACTTTTGACTTTGAAGCAGTGCTATATTGTCCTTTGGTTTTAGGAAAACCTGTATTTTATAAACGGAAGTTAGGTAGCATGAATTTCACAATTCACAATGCAGCGACTAAACAAGGCTATTGTTATTTTTGGCCGGAATATGAAGGCAACCGTGGATCAAACGAAGTATCAACATGTCTCTATAATTACATCTCAAATCTCTCCAATGTCGATCACCTGATTTTATTTTCTGACTGCTGTCCAGGGCAGAATAGAAATTCTGTGCTTGTTGCTATGTTCAATTATATCATTACATCACCTGACAATGAGATTAGAGTCATTGACTATAAATTTCTTGAACCTGGTCACACCTACATGGAGTGCGACAACATGCACTCCACAATTGAACGAGCTTCTGAGTATGCCAAAATCTACATCCCTGATGACTGGCAAAATGTCATACGACTAGCTCGTAAAGACAATCCATATAATGTTCAAGTTATGGAACACACAGACTTTTTGGATTTCAAATCACTGCGAAGTACTATTATTCCAAATACAATGAAAGCCACTGATGGAACTGTTTTGCAATGGGCTAACGTAAGATGGTTACGATTTAATAAAAACATTCCCCATTCGTTGTTTTTTAAATATGATTACTGGGAAGAATTCAAAGAGGTAAAATTAAAGGAGAGAGTGACTAGATCGGAACATAATTCGAATCTTGCAAAACTGTACCCAGGACAAATTTTGTTAAAACAAGCAAAACATAAAGATCTGATGGAAATGTGTCGAGATGGGACGATAACCAAGAATCATAACTACTACTATGAAAAACTTCATGTTCAGTCTGTATCAGGATCGTTGCCTCAGACTAGGCCTCGTCAAGATGATGACGAATTGGAATTATCTGCAACACGAGCCTCATATTTAAGACGTCGGTCAGGGAAAAAGAATTAATCAGTTCATTTGATAAGAACCTACATAGATGTTTGAACTTATTACTTTTGCTTCCTCAGTTGGATCTAAATAGATTAAGTCGTTTGCCTGTACCTGCTCTAAATTTAAATGAGATTGCATGCAACTAAATGGAAAGTACTTACTATTCATGTTTTTCATCTTTATAGATATTTTTATAGATGTATTTTTTTGTTTGTTTATTTTGTTTCTATTTAGGTAAACATCTATTTTTTAATAGGTAACCAAGTTTAATACTATTCATGTTTTTCATCTTTATAGATATTTTTATAATTAGCAGTTTTTTTTAGTTTGTTTATTTTGTTTCTATGTAGGTAAACAACTTTTTTCAACAGCTTTAAGATCTCTGCAATCGTGAATGCTGAATACGACCAAAGAAACAATAATTATCTTTGTAGTACTAGAGTGTTAATTATACCTATGCTAAGTTTTTCTTTTAAAAGTTTAATGGTTCCAAGTTCCTTTTTAAATAATAATAATTTTAAACTATTTTTGTGCCTTGTTTTATTTCACTGCCATCGAAATTAACCCTAAGAAGCCCTTACGTCTGTCTTGGAACAAAACTAATTTTATATTTTTGACAAGCCAGACGGACGTGTAATCTTCAAAAATGGTAGAAATACTGCATTTAATTATATAAAAAATATTTATTTATGATATTTCACGATACTTGAACTAAGTTCAGATGTTTTTTTAAATATTTCATTGCGTAAAAAGCTTTTGTATTTTACGTCCATCCGATAAAAGCGTTTTCTGAGAAAAGAAAACATACGGTTTGCCTACAACTGTCGAGCCAAATGGAAGTAAGTGCAATATTGCAAGTTTTTAAATACTTACAAAGAAAATAATCATTTCACGTTATTAAGAAAGTACTTTAGTAGACACATGTACATTTTCAGATAAAGAGATACATTGCAAAAAAACTTATTAAGTTTTTTTTGTCTCCTGAAAAGTAGGGGTATTGCTTATACGCCCCTCTGGCTTGAAGGCCACGTTATGTTTGACTGCCTCGTTGATATAGTGGTTGTAGAAAGCTACACACAAAGTTGGGGTTCGATTCCCACAAAAAATACACATATTATTATTACTGAAATACTACATAACTGATATATAAATATATATCTATAATACAATATGGTTTGGCTTTACTATAACGATGGGTTTTTTGCATGTTTCTTTTGCTTTGGGTTTAGACTGCTATAAATTATGTTGAGGGAAAATTATGGTATATTTAGTTTAGGAACAATCAGACTAAATACAAAATAGACTCAAAGATGCTGCTACTAACCTGCTAACTGAAAAGGCTTTGAAAAAGAAAGAATTATTATATACTTAGTATTGTCAAGTGGGTTGATAATAAACAGGTCACATTGGTGAGTTCTTATGATGATGCATACCTTGTCGAAAATATAAAACGATTCGGCAAAGAAGCAAAATCTCGTGTTGATGTAAAATGTCCTAAAATTGTTAAAGACTATAATCGTCACATGAGAGGTGTCGATTTGGCAGACATGCTGATTGCATTATATCGCACTGGAATAAGATGGCACAGGTGGTATATGAAAATTTTCTCGCAGCTTTTGGATATACTCGTAGGCATCAACAACGCTTGGCTTTACGTCACAGACATAACAAAATGATAAACACCACTAGAAAGCAGGATCGTCTAGAAGATTTTAGATATGAAATCTACAGTGGCCTACCGAAACGAGGTCGAAACGTTTCAGTGAAAAACCATGCGATGATGTCCGGTGTGACAAATATGATCATTAGCCGCAAATAACCGGATATGAGAGGTGCAAGTACTGCAAAGTTGGTCAGGCAAGTACGATGTGAACAAAATGTAAGGTTCATCTTTGTTACGTGAAGAATCGAAAATGTTTTTTGGAGTACCACTGCAAGGAATAGGGTCTCTGAATTATTAAATTACGATTATTTTGTTGTTCAAGAAAGATTAATTTTATTAAACATTTTATTTCCACCAAGACAGTTATTTTTATTTAAAATCATGTTATTTACAATAATCTTTTGGTATACGTATATTAAAAACTACTAGTAACATTTCAACTCTCCCTAAACATACCAATGTATAGCATAATATACATTCCTGAAAATGCGATAATCACTGTACGTGTAGCAATGTATAGAATAGTATACATCTTGTTTTTCCAAAATTTTCATGTCACGTTTTTTTGAAGTCAAAACTTCTTTAGCGGCGCTGAGCACTTTTTGTATGGGTAAAAACTTTCAAACTTGCGTCAGGGTCACGTGATGCTGATCGAAAAAGCGTAAGATCGAGGGGAAGGGAGAGGAACTAGTATCTCCCACTCTTTCTACCGTGCCTGAGTGTGCTGCTCTGTTTAGGCGGCACAGGGCGCTTGCGCGAATGACCGTGTGTGTTTATGTACAGCGTCCCACGCGTATCCAAGGATGGTGACAGCTGATTGCTTGACTGTTGTGTAGTAAATACACTGTTGTGTATTCGTAAATGTGAATTGTTTAAATTATGGAAATCGAACAAAGTGAATCTATTAATGAAAAAAGTGATGATGAAGTAGTGAAAGCAAATGAGTACGGTTTTTATTAGACACTTAAATAGGTTCGAATCAAAACTGTTTGTTTCTTACTTCAGTTATCATAAACCAATTGTATCAGTTGTAAAAATTTGCGATGATGATTCTGATAATAACGATGGTGTAAAAGTCGTCGAAATTATGGATGGAAGTTGATTTTTCTGAGAGATAAAATTTAATGTAATATATAAATAACGATATAATATTATAAATAACAACATATAAATTGTCATATTTGTGTACGATAGCGCAATAAATAAACATTGTATTCTACCTCATAAATGATAGTACTTTTATACTTATAATTAAACACAACGTTAATATTGAAGTTTTTACTTCTGCCGGCACTCCCGGAGTGCTCCCGTTGTTTTTTATTTATTTTTTTGATGTTTTTTTATACCCCAAAGAAGCTACCTATATAATTTTTTTTTGCTTTTCTTCTAAAAAAGAATCTTGCCACGATAAGGGTTAAATATAGAAGATGGTACCCAAAATGGAGGTTATGCTATAATAAGAAGAAGAGACGACGGAAGAACAATAAAAAAGAAGGATTTCGAGTGTGATAACAGATGGGTGGTGCCCTACAATCCCTATCTATGTAAAAAATTTAATGCTCACATAAATGTTGAAATTTGTTCAAGCGTCAAAAGTGTGAAATATATAAATAAATATATTTATATAGGTCATGACCGAGCAAAGATACAAATCACAGTAGCGCCACAAGAGTCCAGTGATCAATCGACATTAAGCAATGAACACCATGATGAAACTTCTCGGGGCAAACGTTCTCGGGGCAAACGGAGCAACTCAACAAAGGCACCCCCGTCCACGCTCACTGTGGACTTCACAAATGTTAGGGGGCTCAATTCTAATATCAACGCAGTCCACTACCATTTAGAGACTGCGAAGCCGGCCTTGCTCTTTCTTACCGAGACTCAGATTTCCTCCCCGGCTGATACTTCCTACCTCTCCTACCCGGGGTACAAATTGGAACATTCATTTGTGCCGCGGGCGGGAGTTTGCGTGTACGTCAGAGAGGATATCTGTTCTCGTCGCCTCGGGACGCTTGAAGGAAGGGACCTATCTAACCTCTGGCTGCGCGTAGACTGCGATGACCATCCGCGATTCTATGCATGCCTGTATAGGTCCCATAGCGGAAATACCGAAACTGACCGACTCATTGAGCACATCCTAATGGCTACAGATTCCATGCTCGAAAGGGTTCCTACCGCTGAAATCGTGATACTTGGCGATTTTAACGCCCACCATGCCGATTGGCTCGGCTCAGAAACCACCGATCATGCGGGAAGATCCTTTCACGACTTTGCTTTGGCTTATGACTTGACGCAAATGGTCCCTGCGATTACGCGAATACCAGATGTGGATGGTCATAAACCCTCTTTGTTGGACCTTCTGCTGACTTCACATCCGGAGAACTACCAAGTCTCTGTTGAACCGCCATTGGGTTCATCAGATCATTGTGTGGTCCGGAGCATTGTGCCGTTCACGCGCCCTCTTCGGCCTAGCTTCACGGGCTGTCGCCGCGTGTGGCACTATAAGTCAGCAGATTGGGATGGGATGCGGTCTTTTTTGCGTCCTACCCTTGGGGGCCCATTTGCTTTTCGTCGAGTACTCCAGATGCCGTCGCTGACTCTGTCGCCGAGGTGGTCCTGCAGGGTATGGAACTCTTTATTCCATTCTCTACGGTGCCGGTCGGTGGCAAGTCCCAGCCTTGGTTTAGGCGTTCCTGCAAAGCGGCTTTGCGCCGTAAGCGTGAATGCTTTAAAGCCTGGGCAGAAGCAGTGACATCCTGTGATGTGACTATCGGCGAACGTAAAAAAGCATACAATTCAGCCTCCAGGTCCTTCAAGCGAGAAATCGCTAAAGCAAAGTCAGAGCACATTGCCAGATTTGGTGAGAAATTGGCCCACCTCCCTTCGGGAACTCGAGCCTTCTGGTCTCTTGCCAAAGCTGTCCAAGGGAATTTCTGTCAGCCCTCAATTCCACCACTGCATAGGGAGGATGACTCACTTGCCCATACCGCGAAAGAGAAGGCCGATCTTCTAGGCTGTCTCTTTGCGTCGAACTCCACTTTGGATGATCAAGGGAAGGAACCACCGACATTATTGCGGTGTGATACTACGATGCCCGAAGTTATATTCCGGCAACGTGCTATCCGTAAAGCTTTGTCTTCCTTGGACATCCATAAGTCGAGCGGGCCTGATGGCATCCCTCCAATTGTGCTGCGTACTTGTGCTCCTGAGTTGGCTCCGGTCCTAACGCGCCTTTTCCGGTACCTTTACACGCTCGGCACTGTTCCGAAGTGCTGGAAGATCGCTTCGATACATCCGATCCCTAAAAAAGGCGATCGCTCTGATCCGTCCAACTATCGCCCAATAGCTATAACCT